GGGCGTGGTGGCCCCGGAGTTCCTGGGCGGGACTTGCAGGGGCTGAGCCGCGGCCAGGGCGCCGGGCGCGCGCGGGGGGCGGGGGCCTGCGGGGAGACCCTTGGCTGGGGCCTTGACACTTCCTTCCCCTTTCTGTCCCTTTTCCTTTTGCGAGAGAGATGATAGATGATAGATGATAGATAGATAGATAGATAGATAGATAGATAGATAGATAGATAGATAGATAGATATAGATGATAGATAGATAATATAGATAGCTGTCTCTTATACACATCTAGATGTGTATAAGAGACAGCGCTTANAGATAATAGATATTGATATATAGGTAGATGATAGATAGATAGATGATATAGATAGATAATAGACAGATATAGATAGATGATAGATAGATAAATAGATAGATATAGATAGATGATAGATAATAGATTAGATAGATAGATAGATGATAGAGAGATGATAGATGATAGATATTGATATAAAGGTAGATGATAGATAGATAGATAGATAGATAGATGATATAGATAGATAATAGACAGATATAGATAGATGATAGATAGATAAATAGATAGATATAGATAGATGATAGATAATAGATTAGATAGATAGATAGATGATAGATGATAGATGATAGATATTGATATATAGGTAGATGATAGATAGATAGATAGATGATATAGATAGATAATAGACAGATATAGATATATAGATAGATGATAGATAGATGATAGATAGATAGACAGACACCCCCAGGCCCCCACATAAGCACAAAGGGGAAATTGAGGCCCAGGGATCCTCAATAGGACCAGCTCTGAAAGAACAGGTTTCCAGGGAACAGGAATGGGGGAAAAGCAGAAAGCCCTTAGGGGAGCCTGGCCCGAGGCCCCACAGGGGCTGAGGTTCCAGGGATCTGCCATAGAGGAGCCTAGGCTTGGGTGTCAGCTCAGGGACTCACCGTGGTTTGGAGCCCCAGCTGTGCGCGTGACCCGGGACAAGTCCCCCAATCCCTCTGAGCCCGTGACGCTTCCTCTGTAAAGTGGGGTTCGTATCCTCTACAGAGGGCCTGTAGAGGAATGAACTCACTCAGGCACACCCCTCTCTGCTCTCCCTCACAATTCTTGGGCCCCTGCCCAGGTCCTTACTGCCCTTTGTCCAAATATGTCCCCCTTCTAGGGTGCACCGATGATTCCACCAAGGGAGTCACCCCCGGGGCCAGGGCTGGCGTCTTAGGTTTTATGCATTAGATCACACCTTGGCATATCTGCCACGTTCTGTCCTGACAAAGTCTGGCGGTTCCAAATTGCTACAAATGCAGTGAAATTACCTGAAGAAAACACACGCGCACATGAGCAAAAGACACAAAACAAAGGAAGCACTCAGGAGACAAGGCTATATAATTTAAAATAAGATGCCAGAATAAAAACTAAACCTATCCATCACGTGGCGTCCGTAAATGCAGCTAGGGCAAGCCTTGTTTGTAAAGAAAATCTCTGGCATGCCTTTGGATCAGATATCTCTTAATATGTTTTTATTTTTATTTTTTATTGATTTCAAAGATAGGAAGGGAGAGGGGGAGGGGGTGAGAGAGGGAGAGAGAGGGAGAGAGAGAGAGAGAGAAATGTCAATGATGAGAGAGTCATCTATCAGCTGCCTCCTGCATGTCCTGGACTGGGGATCGAGCCCGAAATCCGGGCCTGTGCCCTGACCGGGAATTGAACCGTGACCTCCTGGTTCATGGGTCGGTGCTCAAGCACTGAGCCACACTGGCCGGGCTCTATGCCATTTTATATAAGGGAACTGAGCACCCTCAGATTTTGGTATCCTTGGGGGAGTCTTGCAACCAGTCGCCCTCGGACACCCAGGGGATGACTGAATTAATTGAGCATTTCCTTTATGCCGGGAACTGTCCTAGGTCCTGGAGGAACAGAGGCAAACAAAACCGCTCAGATTCAAGCTGCCAGGAAGCCTACCTCCTGGTGGAGGAGCGCTGGGGCGGTGACCACACAAAACCACCCAGAAATGAGACCACAGACAGGCGACAGTGACTCAGTGGATGATGCAGTGCGTGTGCTTGAGACCAGGGGGTCGGGGAAGGCTTCTCTCAAGGTGCCGTTGGAGTTGAGGCATCAGGGTGCGGGAAAAAACGACCAGAGGCAGGAAAGAGCTTAGTGCACCAAGGGCCACATGATAGCCCGGCCAGCTGGGGGGGTGGCCAGCGGAAGGAGCAGTACAGATGACACTGCAGTGGTAGGCAGGGCTTAGAATTTGTATTTTACTTTAAAAACATGTTTTCACCTGGCCGGCGTGGCTCAGTGGTTGAACATTGACCTATGAACCAGGAGGTCACGGTTTGATTCCTGGTCAGGGCACATCCCAGGGTGCAGGCTCCTGGATCCCCAGCAGGGGGCGAGCAGGAGGCAGCCGATCCATGACTCTCATCATTGGTGTTTCTCTCTCTCCCCCTCTCCCTTCCTCTCTCTGAAATGAATAAAAACATTGAAAAATAATAATAAAATTAAATTAAATTTAAAAACATGTCTTCGTTATGTAAAAAAAAAAAAAGTACAGATATACATAAATGCATTTCTCTTTGGGAACCGTGCTTGTTTGTGTACCTAGCATAATTTCTGGAAGGAGAAACAAGCGGATGGCGGTGGCCACCTCAGGGACCGGGGCTCCAGGGTGGGAAGCAGGCATATGTTTCATAGTGTATCTTTTTATGCTCTTTGATATTTTCCCCATGCACATGAATTACTTTTTCAATTAAAAACTAGTTAATTTTTTAAACTAATGGAAACAGCTTAATATTAAATCTCAGTTGTAATCAGAGAGATGCAAATGAAAACATCATGGAAATAACATTTTTTAGGAAGGGCTTAAAAACTAATAAAGCTCACAGTCAATGAGATATGAGAAAATGAATTCCTGTACCGTCCGTATGTTTTATTCATGCAAATGAGCGTGTATGTAAGGCATGGAGTCCACAGTTATCAAATAGGAGCTAATTCTTGTTCATCTATAAGAGCTCCCCAGATGCCCCCACCCCAATTTATCATTATATTCGGAACTAAATACATCCCGACACACCAAGGTTGCAGGTTCAATCCCCAGTGAGGGCACATACAAGAATCATCAATGACTGTATAAAGAAATGGAAAAACAAATCGATGTTTCTCTCTCTCTCTCCTCTTTAAAATCGATACAAAAATTTAAAANTTCTCTTTAAAATCAATACAAAAATTTTAAAAAAAGATGTCCCCGTGGGGTCATCTGAGACATGCATTTCTTCACTCATCCTTTCATACCGTCCGGATNCTCTTTAAAATCGATACAAAAATTTAAAAAAAAAAGATGTCCCCGTGGGGTCATCTGAGACATGCATTTCTTCACTCATCCTTTCATACCGTCCAGATTGGAGGTGGTTGTTGCCTGAGCCTAATGCTTTCATTTTCNATCCTTTCATACCGTCCGGATTGGAGGTGGTTGTTGCCTGAGCCTAATGCTTTCATTTTCACAGCTGTATGGCATCGTGTTTTTTGAACACATTAAAGTGTATTCATTCATTCATTCATTCATTCATTCATTCATTCATTGTCCTCCCTCCTACCAGCTCAGGAGGTTGGGAAGGGGTGTGTGCATAA